CCGGTGTCCCCGCCGGGGCGGGGACCGGGAACGATCCGGGAGGACGGTGCCGTGCTGATAATTTCAGGCCTGTAGATGGGGCAGCCATTCCCGGGAGAAATGGTTTCCTTCTGAACCATGTCGCTGCCGGGCAGGTGCGTCCCTGCTCCCGCCCTGCTGTGCACCAGCACCGTCGGCGTCATTTTCTTGCTGTGGTCCAACTTGCCAGCGGTTTCCGCATCAACAACTTTCGCTGACAAGTCCAATGGTTTGTCTGTGACATCTTTGGTCGGGGTCTGCTTTTCCAGGAGCGGAGGGGACCTGCCATCTTTCCGGTCGTGGCCAGCTTTCCGCACATGGGGGGTGGCTGGCGGGGGGCCCTCCCCAGCATCGCTGCCTTTGGGGAGCTTCCCATTGGAGAGGCGGGAAGGTGGAAATTCACCGCCGACGTTCACGTACGTCTTTGGGAGGGTCACAGCGGAGGATGGAGAGGTGGTGATCCTGGGGAAGTGTTTGTGGAAATCGGTGTAGGCGTCCCCGGCCTGGGTGGGCAGGGGCAGGCGGGGGGACGGCCGGGGTGAGTGTGGCAGCAGGAGCGTGGGATCCGCCGGCATGTTGGTGGGTGCCGGCTTGGTGGCAGGGACCCGGGGCTGCTTGCTGCTCTGGATGTGGGGGTAGGCATGTGCGTCGACGGGGTTGCCAGGGCTGACGCCCATCTTCCATGACAAGCTCTTATCCGGACAGTGCACCAAAGGTGGGATCGCCGGTGAAGCCGAAGCAGTTGAGAGCCTCATGGGCGACGCAAGCGATGAAGGGATGTGGGGGGCAACGTAGTGGGAGGGAGGCAGGTATAAAAAACGTTCACCGTTCGTACATACGGGCGAGTAAGCCAGGTGCTGCGGTAAGCTGTAGGTGGACTGCTGAGGTAGCAATGCCTTGTACATGTTCAACGAATACTTATTTGGTGAGTCAAGGAAAGGGTATATGGTGGGCGTCGCACCCTCCATATAGGGGTTTACCCAGGGGAGCCTTAGGTAACTAGCACCATTGACACCGAGGGGACTCTGCTTGTCACCCGCAGCTCGGTCCAAACCCAGCGTCTCCCCTGTCGGGACAGAGTTTTTTTGTATTCCAGGTGGTGTTTTGTATATAGCACTGAAGCCATTCGGCGCCTTTCCAGAGACAGCTGCGTTTTCTACCGCTTCAGGGGGATTAGACTTAAACTGTATCTCTGGATTTCTTTCAGGGGTAAATCCAAGCCCGGCTATCGAACTTGTAGCATCCCGTGATTTTTCTGAGCTGAGTCCACACAAGCTGGAATAGACAATACTACCGGGGACTCTGAGTCCTTCTCGCATGAGTCCAGACCTGTCCATACTCAGAGCTGCAAGACTGTCAATGCGATGTGCTGTAGTCGCATCCACCTTTACAGAACAAGAAGTACGTTACTTTCACATTTCACTAACATGACTACCCCTCAAGCCACAGATACATCAGCATTTTGGAAGAGAAACAATACCAATGCAGACACACTGCTCATCATGAAAACATACAGAGGCTGATCAAGCTGGAAAATGGGAGAACAGGAACCTATGAAACAATATCAATCGCTGCAAATGTTAAGACAAACCTCTTTGCTTCCAAAATTCATTGGCTAGAAAAAAAGGCATGAGGACCCATAGCCCCAGTAGTGAGAGGTGGCCCAGAGACAATGCTCAGTGGCACTGCTCCCATGCAGCAACCAGCTCCTAGCCCTGCCACAGCAAGAGGATATGGGCTGTGGCATGGAGCATGGAAAGTGAAGAACGTAGAGCCTCTCCTCCTCCGCCAGGACCTCTCCCCCTGCCGCAGCTCTGCTCCAGGGCCCGCCTCTGCTACACGATTCATGGGGCGAGGCGTCTGAGGATGCAGGACAAGGAAGGAGCGGTAATCAAATTTCTTCCCTGCTCCCCACATACATTCAAAAGAAGGAAACCACCAACTTTGCTGAAATGTTGATGTGCTTAACACTTACATGAACTACCTTTCATGTTGCATGACATTACTCATAACAGAGCAAAAAGTAAAAATATGATGTCATACAACAACACAACACCACAAAGTCAGCATCAAGAGATTAAAAAGATAAATAAACAAAGCCCCATTTCACAGTTTCACAGAAACAACTCGCATGTGCCCAAGCCCGGCTAGAGCTGCAACAGAAAGGTGTTTTAATCGTTCCTGCGAATGGATCGCGTAGCAACACCCAGAGGAGTGGGCAGGAGCCAGGGTGGGGAGGACAGGCATGGATTCAACGGTAGCACGAAACTTTTAACTTCTTACCACACTGTGATTCAGGTGATTTTCTTCCCTCAACTCCAGTCTGCTTTTCGGTGCATCACTATCGTTAACGGGAATTTTCCTATTAAAAAGCAAAAGCTTACTATTTGAAAACATCCTGCTCCCCTAGATCAGTGCAAGGTAATATCACTCAGTATTTTGATTCCCCTGGAGAAGTCCCATATGACACCTTATTTATCTTTCCGCATACTCAAGCACAGTGATTACTTCAGAAAGCAAGGACTGTTTGAAAATAAGCATAAACGGGTTTGACACCAAGAACACACCAAGCACATCTCAGAGCAGCCTCTTCCAACACAAGTGATTTTTGTCAAGGTCTTCTTGTTTGCCCCATGCCCTTTTGTTTTTCCAAGGAGAGAATATCCTATTTTAAACACACCTTGTTAATGTACCACCCCTGAGTGCTGCCAAGAAGCAAATGAAAATACACACACTAATATCATATGAACATCAGCTGTTCCATGCTAAAGAGGGATCCACACATCTGTGCCATACCAGTGCTTGCAGCACTGGGACTTGTTACCACAGAAAGCACCAATAAAGAATATACCTTAATGCCAAATTTCTGATCCCAGGGATAAAAATCATTGACATGCAGTAGAAAGAAAGTTTCAGCATCACCCAAAAGAACTCCTTTCAATCAAGGTGCTGAAAGGCACATCAACACCTTAAAGCAGAAATGTGATTTTAATGTATTTGTTTTTAGAAGATTCACCTTTCTTGCAAGTAGCACATAAAATTATTATCTCTAAGTAACTTGAAGGAAAGTGGAGAGGGAGGGTGAAAAGGCAAAGCGAGATGCTTGGCCATTTTCCTTCATATTATGTTTGCAAAGGGCATTCCCTGCAAACACCAAAAACTTTCCCCAGCTTCTTGGAGGTTCTTCACACAACAGTAAGAACAAGGGCTCAAAGAGAAAACAGAAAAACACTAAACCCACACAAAACTGGCACAGAGAACCGCAGGCATACCTGCAGCTTCTGTTCAGGGTTGTGCTACTTTTTAAAAAGCTGGTGTTTAAGGTGAGAGGACACCAGCAAGTGCCCACGTCACTCCATGGAAAACTGTTAAGGACTGTAATTTTAATCACCAAATGAATTATATTGAGAAGGAAAAAAGGTGGGGAGGAAGAGAAATTCCTTTGTGGAAGATGGAAAGGCCACTGTTCCTATTTCACAGGACAAGCTGTTAGTCTGAAGGCAGGGGATGCCAAGTCACAGACAGGAGCCCCTATGCCATAGAGAGTCATCACAAGAACACGTGCACTATTTGGTTTAATTCCCCTTCACAAATAGGAATTAATAAATTAATTGTAAAAGCGCGTTGAAAGGCTGCTTTGGCAAGTAATCTCTTTAAAGGGAGTCCCCGCTTCACTGACCCAGGTTGCCTGTTAAATAGTAAATCAGTGGCTGCTCTACCACTCTCAGTGACGTCTTGTTTCTCCCCCACTGCCCTCGCTCCGAGCTGGGCTGATCTCGATGTGAGGCAGCAGATATCTCTTCCAGTATAAGGGAAGCGAGCAAACTCCAAGACCTCACGCTGCAGAATTACAGTGTGGTTTAACTTGCCAGAAGCTTAAATATTTACCTGTCTTCATTAATTCCACACATGCGGACCCTTTCATTGCTCATCCAGCTATGAACGTTGCCATACAGGGGAGTTGCAGAAAGCATGACGTCTCCTTAAAAATCGCCGCTTTTCTTCACCGTTTTATATTCTATTAAAAAAAAAAAATAATAAAGGGAAAAAAAAAAAAAAGTTGAGCAGATTTGTCTAGGAGGAAGTGCAAACATCACTGTGGAGCAGCCAGCCTCCCTCCGGGTAATTAATAATGAATGCAGGATTGGTGCGGGGAGTGAGCTGCCTACGTTAACCGCCAAGGGAGATACCCTGCAATAAAGGAGCAAATTGAGGGCATTTATAGGTCAGAGGAGATGGATCTTTTCCCCAGCGCACATCCAGAAAATTAAGAATCATTCCAGGCTATCGACAAATAAAAGTTTCTCCACTGCACTTTGTTTCCATGAGAAATGACTCAGCTGGCCAAGTATACAAAGCCAGTCCCCAAACCTTCATCTCACACAGGCTGAACCAAGCAGGGGGACCCCCATGGGCTGAGGGAACGTGTAGAACTACCCACAGCCACCCACAAAAGCCCTGCCCTAGGAACACACAGGAGCAGGAGCGGATGGCAAGAACAGCCCCACAGCGCGTTTATTAGTTACAGCGACTGCTGATACAGCTTTCACATGAGAACTTAAAACCGAAGGGACGCTGCTACAGAAGGGATCTAAATAAACACTCCCCCCCTTTAGTGTCTGCACATAACTAACTTGGAGAAAGGGGTTAAAAATAGTAAGTGGGTTGGCGAGCCTCCCCACCCCTTGATTTGATTAAGCATGGAGCCCTGGTGGCTTCTGCATCGGAACTGCTGCTGCTGCTGCTGCTGCTGCTGCTAGTGCTTTCAGTAATTCAATGATGCCTGCTCACTCCAGGGAAAGAAATCATTAGTGGGCTCACCGGAGAAGTATTTGCAGTCCAAGAGGATTGGCGCCGCGTGCAGCCAGAGAGACAGGTGAAAGGTAACCGCATTTTCACGACCAGTGGCAGAGGCAAAGGCTTTTCCTCTCCTCTTACCTTGCCTAACGCCACCTCCGCTCGCATTAAATTCTAGTTTGCTGCATGAGCGAAGCGTCAGGATAAGCTGTGTTTTATTAACAGGATTATCGCGGTGCATGATTTATTCCAGTGCAAGATTTTAATTGCTCTTTGGAGGTTGAATCGTTTCTTTTGACTGAGCTTCAGCCTGCATCCTGCTGCTAAATGCTGGGTTAATAAGTAGGGGGAGCCTTTAATGCACAGGATATCCCTCAGCTCTTCCTCTCTCACAAAAATAGAAGCCTTTAAGCGGGAGGCATGATACTCCTTTTACACACACAAGCCAGTAACGGGCGATTGACCACTGGGAGTTTAATGCCTAACGTCTCCCAAAGCATCCATGCTCCCCCAGCAAATTCATTTCCTTTGTCAGGCCACAAATTATGCAAATTATCACTTTGGCATTTAATGTGGAAGAAGCCCAGATTGGGCCTTTAACACAATACTTCACGCAGGTTCAGAGAGGTTTAAGAACTGAAAACGGCAGGAAAGCCTTGTTCCCCAACACTTTTTCCTCCCCTCGGAGAGGCCTTTTGTGCAAAACTCCACGGCTGGAACAAATGTATATTAATGAAACGGCATGTTGACCCTCCTCTCTCCAGAACGGTTAGCTTTCCCTAATGAAGTCCGCAAAAATCGCTGTGAGGAAACAAAAAAATCTACAGAAATTAGATACCACACTATCATTCAAAAGGAGTTATTTCACTAGAAAGACAGTTTCTGGACAGATTTACTGTTTTCCAGATGCGACGCTCGTAATGTTTTCAATAGCGGCAGCAGCAGCAGCATGGAGAGTGATTTAGGGTTTTACATAAGGTTAGTAGCCGCCCTGCGCGCTGCTTCCTCCATGAGGGATGGACGCCGGCTTGGAGGAGACGGGCCTCGGCAGCGGACAGCCCCTCTCCCTGCGTCCCTCTTTCCTTCGGGGCTGTGCGAGGCCAACCGACACTGCTCCTCCTCGGAGCCCGCCTGGTTTCCTCAGTGGGAGTGTACCATAAGATAAGGCGCAGTGCCCAAATTAGACCCCGTCGATCCCCTGACATTTGCAGATAGCGAAACACTGAAGTTGCTCAGGCGGCCGAGAGCTTCCTCGGCTAGGGCGGGTAATCCGGAGGCCCCACGTCCCACCACCACCGCTGGAGCAGGGCGAAGCCCACCAGGTTGGGCTCGATCTCAAAGGTCTTTTCCAACCTAAACGATCCTATGACTCTAGGGACGAAACGCAGGGAGGCCGTGGGATGTCCAAGGGCCCACCCGGGAGGGTCAGAGCCCGTGACCCGATGGGTGCCAGCCCCCTCCCCAAAGCCACCCTTCAACGCTCGCTACCCCAGGGCGCACGCCTGTGCGCAGTTATAATCGCTGCCCTGATGAACTTCTTGTGAACTGTTTAAAAGTGGAGGTCTGCTGAACGAGCAGCGGCGCCACTGCCAGCCA